CAATCTGATACAAAAATACATCTTTTATATTAAGGAACAACTAATATTAAAGGAATTATTTTTGATATCTATTCTTTAACTATACACATCTGATGATATTTACATCAATTCATTGAGAAATTAATTTCATTTCAAGTAATGTTGCTACTTTTAGGACAGGCCTTTCTATTTTGAACTTTGACCGAATGATCAGGATGATGCCTTAGCTAGAATTTTGCTTTTGAAATTCAAAGTTAAAAAAAAAAAGAACCCTTATAATTAGGACAAAGACCTAACACCTAAGCCTAATGAACCAAAAGAACAACCACACAACTTTCGTTTTCTAAGGATTTTCATCATAATTATAAGAAAAGATTTATTGACCCAAGGTCAAAGTAATGTATAAACGAAGCTTTAATCAAACATTTAAATTAAGAAGTTTTATTTACTAAGCTTTTTCCAGTACAAAAGTATGAGACAATCATCTTCAGTTTTTTTCTCAATGTGGCTTTCAGATTCATCGAAGCGTGAAATCAAATGGCAGCAATTGAGTTCAATACCACAGTCTTTCATTGTTTTTTTTTTTATCAGTGGTTCATTAACGCTCCTTTTCTGAAACGGATTAGATGTGCTTTTAAGTATACTGCAAATTGCTGTTCTAACAATGAGACGGGGAAAAAACCCCTTGTTTTTTAGGGGAGGTATGTGAAGATAAGGGCACTGGGTCAAGCGAAGGTTGAGGAAAAAGGGAAAAAAACTTTTTTTAGCAGGACATCCGTTTGGTAATGTACCGCAATGGATGTCTTATAACTCAGTTTCACTTATTTGAGCCAATAACTTCTGTTTTGACTTTCACCAGCGGTAGTTTCTTCTTTACAGGGTTTTTTTTTTTTTGCTTGCGTTAACCAATGTAATTGTTTCGCATTCTCAGTGGCGCAATTTTTAAGTTCTGTTTCAAAGGACTTCCTTTTTTTTGGTAGAGACTATTTGTCCAATTGCTAATTCTAGTTAATATTGTTTTAAAACTACACGATGAGTTAATGTATATGAATTTGAAATCTTGATATTTGTTAAGGTGTTATCTGAGCTTTTTTTTACCTCAATTTTGTAACAGCAATTGTGCGAAAGACAAGAGAGCGGGGTGCTAGTTCAGCCACATCGTCTTCGTCATATGCCAACGGTTTAAAATTACGAGGTCCGTTGCCAAAACATTGTGTTCCTTTAGACACGTTGTCCACCTCACCCACCACCAAAAGCTCTTTTACACAAAATTAGAAGTGGAAAAACGCCGCACTGTTCACCTACACGATAGCTTTTGCGATTACCCCTAAATTTTTTAAATTGGTCAATGACAAAGGGGACACCAGAGCTGGGAACCCCTCTCTACTACCACACCACACCAACGGGAGGACGTTTGAGCTTTCGACAGATTTAACGTGCATCGTGCCCCTGCACAGCGAGTCTTTAGTGGTAATGGGCTCGAACTCGTGACATGCCAGCCACGATCCGATACCTTGACCACTAGGTAACCACAGCCACACAAAAATTAGAGTAGTGTGGAAGATTGGATTGGGTGCAAGTACTGCCATCGTCATTTGACCGTAGCTCAAAATTATGAAGTCCTTCGGGTGCCGATTTAAGCTCGTTTCGGGCCCTTGGCGCAGAAGATCTAGAGACCCCTTGGCACTGGCGGATGTCCAGCCTATCCGGGTCCTTTCGGCTACACGAAACTTACAATTACGTTGAAATTTTAAAGCACTCTCTATGTCAGGATCCTGAGTAAAAAAATGTTGTTCCATTTAGCGAATTTCAAGCCCTCGCGGATTAAATCAGCTGAAAGTAGCTGAATTCCTCTTCGACTTCGTCATTATTGACTTCTTTATTATCTTAAACTGTCAAATTCGATCAAATTGTTCTCATCCAAAGGGCGAGAATCCCCAAATTTTTCGGGGAATTTATGCTAGAACAAAAAATTTGTACAAAAAAAATTAAGTTTGTTAAATTCGAGGTACCGTGTTATTTCAAAATCGAGTAAAAAAAGTCGGTATAAATAAAAAAAAAAATAGTTGGGTGTATAATTAAATAATTACTCTGCTCTTGTGAATAACTGATTCTACAGAAACAACGTGTTGAGAGGAAATTTGCATCAAAAAAAAGGAATTATCGAAAAACCATTTAAAACAAATACCAATTCAACAATCTTAGATCAGTGTTTAACTCTTACTGGGTAGAAAAGAAACTTTTGACGAAAAACTTATTGACGACAAAAACGCTCTTTTCCCGTTAATTTTCATTTATTTCGAAATCTAATATTTTAAATTACTTCCTCTGAATGATTCCTTAACTGTTTTAATTGTTTTAATGCAGTACGGATACGGATAGTCAATTCAGAATCCCTGTTGCCTCTTCATTAGGTTCTTTTTTCTTTACAATAAAATCTCGTTGAGCTTGAATTTGATTGAACCTTTTAGATTCTGTCACGTCTTCCACGATCATCCTCGAATTCTCGATTAATTGCTTATTGACGTTGCACTTACAAGCAACACTCTAAAGCTATCGATAACATATCACTTTACTTTGAATAGTCTTTTTAAGCTAATTTCATTGATTGCAATGTTACATTTATGTACATTTACTTCATGATATCCGGTACAGTGGTTTGTGACGCTGACTGATATATCGTTGAATCTGGTTTCGAATGTCGGAGAAAGCATGGATGTTTATAAATGTATAATGCCTTTGCAGCTAAATCGTCATCAAGCCGTAAGTCCTTTCGTGAGGTTGGTATAAGGGAAAGTGAGGTGGAAGGCCTCTCTGTGTGTGTGTGTGATCCCCACCCCAGAGTGTTTTCCATCAAAATTTAGGTGGTACTGAGTCAAATCGCACTGTCACCTGTATGGTACTCAAAGCTACGGCTAACGGCAAGCGTACGACTAGTCCCTTCCCGCGATGGATTTCATGGTCCTTGATCTGATGTTACTGTCAAGCAGGTGGCATAAGTAACTACAACCCTTTATGGACTCACTGATATTTCGGCATTTAATTTATATATATTTTTCTTTGAATCCACAAATATTTTAAAAATGGTCGCACGATTTTAGAGCAGTTGCAACGTTGTGGTCATTCAGGTACGAGGATTATTTTGCAATATCTTCAGAAAAAGAGACATATTTAGTAATCGTTTATTAAAAACATATACCCTGGCAACACGAGGGTTGTTGGTGACAAACATTGCTATTTTGACGAGGGTGACACTTCAGCTCTAGAAAAATAAACATAAACTTACTCCTTATTATTTAAGAAACGTACCAATTTTATAATAAAACTGATTGCATTGAAACCTTAGAAACAATACAGAAATTAAGGTTAATTTTTTTCTTTTATATCCTCTAAAACAATTTGTACAACAATAGTTGTCAAGTTTCTAAAAATATCCTAATTAATACATCCATTCATCGAAAAATTCAGTATCCTTTAGTCCTTCAAATTAAAATGAGGAATCGTAGCTAAACAATAAGAGGTTCCATAATTAATATTGATTTTAAGCACTCTCATTTTCTACCTGCAACAAAATGTATCGTTCTATTTGCTCGAAACCAATTATAATCAAATATACTATTTAGAAATGTTTCACTAACACAAAAGAAATGCAGGAAGTCGTTAGCGCTGTCTCCTCTTCCGCTCGTTGTTTCATTATTTTTAACCACGTATCATCCAGTTATATTTATTTTTAATCTCGCACAGCCTTATCGTGTCAATATATCCTTACTTCCGCGAGGATCTTTCGTGACTTTTTTGTTACAAATCCTTTTACTTCCTGTCTGTGTTCAGATACAATTTCTTAGCGAAAAGCATTAGTTTTTTTTAATGGATTACCCTACATGAAGTTGATCTCTTTAAGAAACACACATCTGTTAACTTTTTTTTCTTCTTTCTTCTGAAAATGCACAAAGATTGCCTGTGAAATTCATTCGGAAATTAGCCCTCGGCCATGTGGTCAGTGGATTCTTTCCTCATCTTTGATTTTTTTTGGGATCTTTCTTGTCTTCAATTGCATCATCAAGAAGTGTTGTAAATCTCGGCGTGTTACAGGAAGCTGTCGGCGGTGGTCTTATTATTGACACGTTGTGGCAGAAGCTCTTTGTTTGATTTTTTTCCCCTTCTTGTTTTTGTTCCGCAACCAGGATGGATTTTTTTGCTTCGATTTTCTGTTTTCGAAGGATAATATTACATAAAAGAAAATCGGGTCACAGTGGAGAAAATATTCTATTTTGGATTTGAAAAGTGAAGCCGGTGGATTCCCTGCGGTTAGAAACTGTTTTGGTATCGCTCATATCCCTTTATTTTGAAAAAAAAAAGTTTTTTCACATTTCATAAAGTTTTCTCTGTAACATCTTTATTATTAATGCACATTATAATTTAAAACCTTTCCTTAATCTACTTTTAGAGTATATCCAGATTCAGAGAAATTTAATAACTGTGTAAAGAGTGACATCACACTAGGACTGGTATTACGTGGCATTAATACCAAAGTATACATATAGATATACCTTCGTATATCTTCCACTCTCTTCATTTTCTCACACCTTAGAGCATGAAACTTTTACTCCTTTTTTCCTCCTGCAATGAAATTATTAAGAAAGGAGAGCTACCACGCGAAAGGTGATAAACGGTTTTGAAAATTGAAACTACAAGGGGAGGGCACCCTCTGTGACCGTAACGGCGAACCAACACCCATTATACAATTTGCATTTTGTGTTTTTTTCAATTCCTACTATTAGTTCATACTCCCCATATATATATATATATATATATCTTGCTCAATCGTTAATAAAATACTTTTTATTCATCCCCTCAAGTCCAAATACATTTTTTTAAAAAATTTGTAGTGGGTGACACTTGATGATCATGTGTGGTTTCTTCAAATATTAATTAATTAATTAAATTAAATTAATGAATAGATAGTGACAAACAAAAATAATAGTCTTACCCTATATACAAAAAGGAAAATCGTTTGTTGTGCTTTGTAGCGCAATAGATAGCGCGTTGGACTTCTGATCCAAAGGTTCGAATCTTACCTGGGATGGCATGATTTCTAAGAATGTGAGAGATTTATGAATGAATAATTAGTAACTAACAAAAATAATACTCCAACACCATATATAGGAAGGAAAATTTTGCAAGGAAAATCGTTTTCTCTATTTTGTGCCACTTAATATCGTAATTCTGTCATATGTATATACATATTTATATAATAGTTGTAATTATTTAATAAAAAGTAACTAAAATGACATTTTTCTTTGTTAACCTAAGTAGCAATTGGCTTAAATTTTTATATATTACTTGTTTATAAGCTTGCTCTCTAAGCAATCGAGGAGATATAAGTGATAACACAACATGACAAGATGAGGCAGAGTGTAGAAAGTACTGCAGTTGCGATATGTAATCAATGATGTTGATACAAGGAGTGAGAGCTTAGGTTTAGATTTAGCAGCACAGTTCATAACTTTCTTGTGTTGATTATTTTCAATTATTAGTTTGCTTTTTTGAAGCGTAAGCCTACCTTTGTTACTGCTCTGAAGTGGAGAGTTGGATGAAGTCTCTAGTGAGAATTGTGACAATTTTCTTAAAGAGATATCGAATACAATTCAAGGGGCTCTACGATTTCAAGTGGCCGTGGTTGACTAGTGGTCAAGGTATCAGATTGTGGCTGGCATGTTACGAGCTCGAGTCTAGTACCACTAAAACCCTCCGTGTAAGGGAGCGATGCACGTTCAAACTGTCGAGAGCTCAAACGTCTTCCCGTTGGTGTGGTGTGTTTGTTAGGAGAGGAGGGTACCAGCTGAGTTGTCTTCCTCGTCACTCGACCATGGTTCAAAATGACGAGGTTCGTCGCCCAAAGCCCTCGTGTAGCGTAACAGTGCGACGTTAATCTCTCACTCTACGATTTCGAGCGCGAGATATTTTTCTCCGTGTTTGCGCTATTTTGAATTGGCTGTTCTAAAACTGATCCTACTGCGCAACTTCTTTCAGGACTTTTTCTCCCGAGGAAAAAGAGAAGCTTACGAACCCTAATATCTTTGAAAAATTTATATAAATTACCTAATTTTTACTTTTTACTTCCTCAACTCGCGATTCGAAAAGAAATGTTTCAATTTTCTATTAATACCACGAAAGTAAATTTAGGTCACTGGCTATTAAATTACTCTTTTATTGTTCTTTAAAAATAACGGAAGCCCCGGGAAAATTTTTTAAGTTACACCCAACATCTGAAAGCATTGCGGGCATTATGTGGATTGTCGATTGTGGTGTAAACTTTCCCAGAAAAAGGCTTTTGGATTTTAAAAATAGAGGGAAAAAAGGTTTCCTTTCTTTTTTAACTTTTTCGTCCCATTGGTTATATTTTGGGAAATTTTGGTTTAATCACTTGCGTTCATTTTTGAGGTTATTATAAGGTGTCCGCGCTTTTTTTTATAAACCCCTTTTATTTTTGTTTTTAAACTTCAAATTTTCAAAAGGAAAATTTAAAAATTTTCTGTTTTTTTGAAAAAAAAAGGTTTTGGGGGGGGGTGTAAATTTTAAATTCCCCAAATTTTTCACAAAAAAACCCATAATGTAAATTTCGATTTTTGTAAAAAAAAGACGGGTGGGGATTTTTTTTTAAAAAAAAGCCTTTTTTTAAAAAAAATCAAAATGCCCCATTTCGTATTTTTTTAAAAAAAGGTTTTGGGGGGGGGTTATTTTATTTATTAATTCTAAAATTTTTTAAAAAAAAACTTTTAAATGTCTTTTTGTTTTTTAAAAAAAAAAAAATTTTTGGGGGGGTTATATTTACATTCAAATTAAATTTTTAAAAAGGTTTTATTTTAATTTTAATTTTTTAAAAAAAAGGATTTTTGTGGGGGTGTATTTTTTAAATGTTAAATTTTTAAAAAAAAGGGCTCAAATTTTTAAAACTATATTTTTGTAAAAAAATTTTTTGGGATGGGGGTGAAAAAAAGTTAAAAAAAAAAAAATTTTTAAATTTTTAAAAAAAAAACAAAGACCGGTAAAATTTTTCACATAAAACTTTTTAAAATGAAAATTTTAAATGCGTTGTTGTTACCAAATCAGTTCGGTCCAAAAATTTTTTTTGCGGCTAGAGGGGCTAGATTTTTACACCTGTCATTTAGCTTTAGTTTTGAGCATCATGCACGGGTGACAGTACGATTTTGCTTGGTTTCACCCCAATATGGAGGGAGCAAAATTCTGGGGGTTGGTCAGGGGCCTCCCACCCCCTTCCACTAACCTCACGAGAGGATTTGCGGTTCGACAACTATTTAGAATACTAGTAATATGCCGAAAATAATGCTCTTTGCTTATATATCTTTAAAAATTTCCAACAAATCTTAGATTTTTTTTGTGGTCTTAATAAAGGTAATTTAATAATTCTGTAGAAATACAAAAACAAGTTTTTAATTAAATTTTTCTTTTTCTGTTTAATTTAAGTTGGATATAATTTTTGAGACCTCATAATACATACTTATGTTTGGGTACCATTTTTTAAAAAATATATCTCTTAAATATGTAAAATATTTTGCATATATATAAACAATACAAAAATAGAGTGAATTTATTTTTTTTAATAAAAATATTAAGATAGTTTCTTTAAAAAAATTATAAAACTTTGTAATTTTGAAAACTTATTTTTTCCCCTTTATTCACACATAAAAAAATATTTTTAAAAAACTATGTACTACTTAGACTAAAAAGACAAGGTTCACTATATGTACAGGTATTCTGTATAGAAGTATAAAAAATTTGGAACCATGAAGTGCAATAGATTTTTAAAATTGAACCTAAAAGCAAAAAAGTATGCTTTGGAGAAAAAGATAAAAAACTAAACATTTGTAAACGTTTGTTTACATGTTTGTTAATAACATTTTTCATATTTTAAGCTTATTTTATCAACGGACATAAAGGTGTAAAACATATTTGTGTGTTCACAAAAATATGCACTATTTTTTTAATACTAAAATTGGAAAATCGATATTTTGAATGTGGTTGATGTCCTGGTTCCCTTAAGTAAATTATTGTAATTTCTTGCTTGTAATCGTTTCGAGTTTTATTTAATGGCTTCTCCTCTTCACGCTGCGTTTGGATCCCTCGGGAAGATCTTAACCTCAACCAACATGAGAAAGAGGTACCGCGACAACTGTAATTGTTTTTTTCCAGATATAACCATTTCAAAAATAAAGCAAACACAAGTTTTCTATTTTAGGATACGAGAAACAACATAAGATACACGACCAAAGTCCTATTGACATTAATTATAGTTTTAGGTAATGAATACAGATCGAAATTTATGCTACTTAATTAAATGGGAAGCAAAAAATGAAAAGTAGGTAAGAGATGAACGCGTCATCGGTTAAAAATAATTCTTTTGAACTCAAAATGTATTTCTATCATGTCTTTTTGTAAAAATATTAAAACGAATTTTAGAAAATTGTCATTTTGTTCTCTGTCCTCTTTTCAAAGTTCAGTGTTCTTGGAAAGATTGTTTATTGCTATGACTCGTGATTTGTTTCCTATAATCTCGGTTAATAATTACTCATTAAATAATTATTCGAACAACAACTATAAATAAATGACTACCGCCTGAACATTACTACTAAATTTATTCGAATCTAAATGGCCATTGACTCGAAGCCTAACCCCAAACATGTTTTTGTAAAAAAAAAAAAAAAATAGCGTAAAAGGGCGGTATCCGATTCTTACGAAATTAAAAAAAAATGTAAATGAAAACTGATAAGAAGTGCATTATTAATTTATTTTTTGTATTAAAAACTTTTAAATACATGCATGAACCTGTAATTGCTCTAACCACCAGTATCATATGTTAAATTTTTCCTCAGCCAACAAATTTTTCCACCTTCGATTCTAAGCTGCACCCGATTTTCAGTAACTGCACTGGAAAAAAAGCGTGGCTTAGATTTGAAAAAATACGATGTTTTTTAAAATTTGAATGGGGCATTATGAGTAAATAATACTTTAGTTATATTTCACCAGTTCTTAGAAGAAAATGTTATTTTATTCATTGTTCTGCGCATTTGTCTACAGCAGTCTTCCCTGTGGACTCCTGGGGTCCCCGAAATCATTTAAGGGGTTCGTGAAAATTAAAATTGATTTGGGGTAACCGAACAATGCCAGGTGGTCCGTGCAAGGTTTAATATAAAATTTAAAAAAAATTGATCCATTTTTATTTTATGGATATTTAAATAAATAACAATTCACTTGAATGTTCCCGACTGGGTGTGGAACTCTTTTGCGCGTAGTCTAAGTCAAATCCCAAACGCAGATGAATCCATACTAATACGGGAGTACATCTTGTTGAAACATCTACACATGAAGGACTTGAAACCTGTGTTTGAACAAGGATACCACAAATTCTGGTTACGAAAACAGATCCCAATTTCATATCCTGCTCTATGGGTTATTGTAAGTGAAGTTGTTGGCTACTTTCCCATCTTCCCGTGGATTCAGAGCCGTAAAAAACCTCATCACAAAAAAATAATAAATAGTATTCGGGGGATTTGTGGTTGATGCTCACAAATATTGAGACGGACATATAAATACACTTGTAACATTTCATCAAGTTCATCCTAAGTCATAAATATTTTTTAATTTTATTTTTTAAACAAAAAGTATAATTTCAATAAATAATGCTTCAACAAAATATTTTTTTTTTCAAATTTGTAATTTTTATACTATGCATTTATGTAGCTTTTCACTTGGGAATCCTGGGAAAGTTTTCACAATAAAAAGGAGTTCATGGGTTAAAAAAGTTTGGGAACCACTGATCAAAAGGAAAGAAAAACTATGAATCTAAAAAGATATACCAATAGGAATTCATTTCACATATGTAATTTTCTCTTATTCCTACCAATTCCTAATCTTATAAAAGAGTCGGCGAATGTGTCGACTAAACTCAATTAATTTGAATTAGTAAACCAATTGATAAAAGGTTTTTATTTTGCCTAAATAAATATTCAACTCTATCAATGGTAGACTCACAAAGGGCAAAGATGAGCAATTGTTTTGGCTCAAGAG